AGATGGCTCAGTAGAATAAGTGCTTCCCTGGCAAGCGCAAGGGCCTGAGTTCAATCCCTGGTTCCGCAAAAAAAAAAAAACTTATTTAGGGCCAGGGAGATAGCTTCGTGGAATAAGTGCTTGCCTGGCAAGCACAAGGTTGTGAGTTCCATCCCTGGTATCACCAAAAAAAAAAAAAAAAAGAAATCCTATGATTCTGAGACCTTTCTAGTTCCTCAGTAGTCTTGAGTTTTCTTTACTCATAACCCTGCATATTTCTCTTGTTTATAGAAATGCTAGAAAGTACTTCTGTGCACTGATAGAGCTTCTTGACCTGATAGGGTCAGAAGGTATCAGTAATTACCATTACTATTGACAGCATTTGCTGAGTGCCAGTACTACTTTTCTCAGCATTTCGTCTTAACTAACTTGATTCTTTTTTGTTGTTGTTGTTCCAGTCAAATACTAATTTGATTCTTATTGTAGCCCAGTGAGCTAGGTGTAGCTCTCCATTTAGGAATTTTGGAAACTGAGGCACACAGAAGTTATATTACTTCCCCGTGGTGTCACAGTTTGTAAAGGCCAAAGCTAGGGTTTAAATCCATACAGTCTGACTCCAGAGGTTATGTGTGTAACTACTGGTCAAGACAGTGAATCCAGGGGCCGGGGAGATAGCTCAATAGAATAAGCACTTGCCTGGCAAGCACAGGGTCCTGAGTTCAATCCCCGGTACCACAAAAAAAAAAAAAAAAGACACTGAAAGCAGGGCCAGGGAGATAGTTCATTGGCTTAAGTTCCTGCCTGGCAAGCGCAATGTCCTGAGGTCGATCCCGAGTACCAAAAAAAAAAGACAGTGAATCTGGTTCTAGTCTGTGTTGAAATCTATAGTTTTTGTTACTACAACCTCAACTCTTTCCTTTTTGTTGTTGTTATTTTCTTTGGGTTTTTTAATTTTAATTTTTTATTCTTTTAGATAGTCTTCCTGTGTAGTTCAGGCTGATGTTGAAATCACTGTGCAGCCCTGGCAGGGCCTCAAATTTATTAATCCTCCTTTCTCAACCTCCCAAGTGCTGGGATTACAGGTGTGTACCACGATGCCCAACTTTTTTTTTTTCTTAAGTGCTAACAATTAAATCTTTGGTCTTCTATATGCTAAACACTGTTTGTTACTGAACTACCAAGTACTTCTTTTTTTGTATGCCTTTTTTTGGTGGTGTTGGTGCTGGGGATTGAAACCCTCCACCTCCGTCTCCCTCCCCAAGTGCTTTACTGCTGAGCTATATCCCATCGTTTATTTTTTTCTAGACAGAGTCTCACTCTGTAGTTCAGGCTATTCTTGAGCTCATTATGTAGCCCAGGCTGGCCTCAAATTCAAGGAAATACTGTTATCTCAGCCTCATGTGTGCTAGAATTAAGAGCCATGCACCTCCACACCTGGCCTCCCCATCCTTTTTTAAATTTTTATTTTAAGATATTGTCTTACTGAGTTATCAGTCTGGCCTTACAAGCCTTTGCCTCAGCTTTGAGAATAGCTGGGGTTACATGTGTACCACCATGCTGAGCTTTGTGTAATCTTTTATTCCCTGATGACATCCATTTGATCCTGAGACTCTCCAGCTGTTCAAATTCTCCCTCTGTGGACACAGGGGAATGTCTGATAGATTGTATACTTAGGTTTGTTTTGTAAATTATTCAATAAATATTTATTAGGGGATTGGAAACTATAATGATTGATTTAATTCCACTGCTTACCATCCTGAATAAACTGTCTGTCAGATCCCAAAGATGTGTACCTAGGCCTCACTTGGCAAGGTGATTAACTGAAACTCCTTGGTTAAACTCACTATTTTCTTAGCCAAACTTTGCATTTTTGTCATTTTTTTCTTTGTGGAATGAAAGTGTTTTCTCTTTTTCTTTAAAGGAATTTCAGGCATCAGCAATTAAGTCAGAAGAGTGGATGGGCTGCTTGCAGAAAGATAAACTGTTCATTTCTTTTCTTAAGGGTACTCAAGGGCCCAGGACTCAGTAGGGTAACTGGTCTGTCCCTGTGAAGTTTCTGGGAGGCTGAGAGCTGCAGCAGCCAGAGAACCCTGTGCTGCTGGCTGGATCTGTAGAATCCCTAAGCCCACTGTCCTCTGGTGTCTGGGCTGCTGGCAATCCGTTCCTCCCAGCCTCTCCTTGATTTCCTGCCTCAGAGATCCTTTCTCCTTCCAACACTTCCTGACCATGTTATCTTTTTAGCCATATTTTGCTTTCCTCTCTCTGTTAACCTTCTTTCCTTCTTTTGCCTCTCCCTCTGTTCCTCTCTCCCCTCCTGCTAGCTTTCTCCCTCTGTCATCATTCCCTCTGCTTCTTCTCTATCCTCTTTTTCTCCTCCTTCTCTCCCCTCCCCTCCCCTCTCCCACCTCTGTCTTCTTTCTCTTTGTCTCTTTCTTTTCTGCTGTCCTCTTCTCCTAGTTCTTCGTTCTCCCTCTTTTCTATTGTCTCTCCTCTCTCCCTTTTCCCCACCTCTCCTTCATCCCCTTCCTAGCACCTCTCTTCTCTCTCTAGTGTTGGAGTTTGAACCTAGCTATTTTGCACTCACCTACACTTCAAGCTATTTTAAAGTTTAGACAGTATCTTAGGCCGGGGAGATGGCTCAGTAGAATAAGTGCCTGCCAAGCAAGCACAAGGTCCTGAGTTCAATCCCTGGTATTGCCAAAAAAAAAAAAAAAAGTATCTCACTAAGACCCTAAATTGTCCATGCTAAGCTCAAATTCGCTACCCTCTTGCCTCAGCCTCCAGAGAGCTGTGATAACAGGGATTCATTACCATACCTGGCTTCTACCATCTGTTTTTTTTTTTTTTTTTTTAATGTATTTGATACAGGGTCTCACTATGCAGCTCAGACTCATAGTGATCCCCCTGTTTTCAGCCTCCCCAGTGCTGGGATTACAGGCATGTGCCACCATGCCCAGACTTCTACCATCTGGTTTTTTTTTTTTTTAAACTTCTTTTCCTTTTGACAAGATCTCATTTATTCAGTCTCATGTGATCTTGTTTGTTTGTTTATTTATTTATTTATTTATCTTTTGGCAGAACTGGGGATTGAACTTAGGCCCTTGTGCTTGCAAGGCAATTCTTTTCCTTTTGTAACCAAAGCCTTCCTTAGTCCTGATAGCCTGGGAGATAGGCTATTACTATGTTTCTGTAAAATATGAAGAAATAGAAGATGCAAATCCTGTGGGGATTCAAATCCTGGCAGTCTAGCTCCAAAACTGTGATGTTAGCATTGTATTACCTGCCCTTCGCAAATAATACGAAAGTGGCAAATCAAGAAGTGAAGCTATTCTTCTTTCTCCTCTTTCTCTTTTCCTCTTTCCTTCTCTTCCTCTTGCTCTTGTTTTTCCTTTTTCTTTCCTAACTTCTCTCTTTCTTCTGCTTCATCTTTATCTCCCTTTTTTTTCTGCAGTGCTTGGGACCGAGCTGTGGGCCTCACACGTGCTAGGCAGGCTTTCCAAAGCTAGCTGTGTTCCAGTTACTATTGTTGTGTAACAAACTAAAGAGAACGAGTACAGTCATGTATTTTACTCAAGAAGCAGCAAGTTCGGCAGTGCATGGCAAGGACAGAGCCTGTTTCACATGGTGGTAGACAGGGTGGTTTCTATTAGGCGAAAGCTGTCTTGATTCCAAGACAGCCCATACTTGGCTGGCAGGTTATTTCTGGCTCAGTTCTTCTCCAGGGGCCACTGGGGCTCCCACACAGCATAGTGGCTGGTATCAGTGATGAGCATTGTAAGAGAGAGCAAGGGGAAGCAGCCAGTGTCTTACAATCTAAGTGTGGAAATGGATACAATATGACCTATATTCTGTCCTGTTGTGTAAGAAGTCATAGACCCAGATCCCCAGCAAGAGACATAAATCTATTGATGGAGTGTCACAGAACTTGGGTCTGTGTCTTCTTAGAACTGCTATGTGAATTTGGTTTAGTGCTTGTATTTGATTAAGTATTAATATTACATTGTTTCTGAATATTTTTTTTTCTGTTATTACTGGGAATTGAACTCATAACCTCACGCTTGCCAGACAGGTGCTATACCACTGAGCTATACCCCTGGCTGTCTGAATGAATTTAAGGTCACGGAAATCTTTCTCTTTCTGTATAGGACTGGTCTCTGGCATTACCAGGTGTGTCTTCAATACTAATTATTAGCTATTCATATTTAAAAACCTTTAGTCCAGCAGTTAGGGTGTAGGCTGGTGATAGAGTACTTGGTTAGCATGCACAAGGCTCTGAGTTCATTCCTAGGCACTAAACCATACAAAACAAAATCTCCAAGCTAATTTAGTCTTTCCTGGAAAATCCCAATGGGACATAGTCTCCACTAGGATTAAGAAATTAATTTGTTTTTAACTAGGATCTTTGTAATTTGTCAATTCCTCCATGTAGATTAATTGAGAAGACGGGGGCACAGTTCCAGGGAGAATATAGCTTTGCTGTGGTTTTGTATTTTGGCAAGGTGATCCCCTCTAGAGTATGGGCTCTAATTACAG